GTATATAAAGATAAAAACAGATTTGATGATTTTAATTTAATATTTTTTTTCTTTGACAAACAAAACCAAATATTAGTGCATTTCACAGAGACCCAACAGTGCATTTATGCTGATCTTGGTTATTTGACTCTATCATAAGTTTTCCCTTTAGTGGAAATCAATAGCAGTGTAATGTATTTTGACGTAGTCTCAGTCTAAAAGAGTGAGATAACCTCCTGACAGGTCTCAAATTAACTCCTGAAGTGTAATTTAGGTGGGGGGTGATCTTGCCCTGAGCGCAAATCCTTTTTTTTTTATTTACACCCCCTAGAATGGAGGCCACCAACCCCCCCTCTGCACACACATAAACACGCTATCTCCTCTGTTCCACTGTGGCACTCCAGCCCAAACCAGCGAAACCATTTCACAGTTTACTGGTGCAGACCGACCTCGAAAAGCCCAGCTCGGTTGGGCAAGGTTAATAAAAATGTTTTTTTGTTTTTTTCTTTTCGCCATAATCTCCCTCTCTCCCCTTCCACCTCTTCTCCGTCTCCCTTCTCTTCTCACCACATTAAATCAAACTGCCTAGATGCTCTGTGGAGGGCTTTAAAACCTCATGTGGGGGGTTCAGTGGCCTTCAGGAGGGGTCTGGAGCTGCCAATGGGGACAGACGTCAATTTTCAGCCCTTTTGAAAGCGGGATTTACAAGCGGACAGAGTTCAGCCATGAAGGGTTGTGTGGGGATGCAGAGTGGAGGGGTTTTACTCAAGCTAACTTTCAAGAAAGAGAGGAGGGAAGGAAGGAGAGGACAGCACTCTGAGCATGATTGCTCCCTCTTAATGTCAACATGGCATCAGCCTCCTCGACAGCTCCACTACTGCATTAAATATGAACTGCTTTTTTAGTTTCTAGTTTCTCTTGGCCATTCTGTCTATTTTGCCCACATTCTGTCTTGCTGGTTCAGCTTCTTCACAAGGAGCTGTGTATATAGACCTCATTATTGCAGGTGAAGCAGATTTCATAGCTTGAATTGTATCCCGGACAAGCCCCCGATTTTAATGACTTCATATGAAATAAGATACCTGTCAGTTACGGAGGACAGGAGTGCTGGTTTTGATTTCTTAGCTGTCCATGCTCACACAATAAAAATAAACATTAAATGTGTCTGCCTGTGCACGGGTGGTGCTAGTCCAGATGAGCATTTTTATGATGTTTATTTGAAGGTTCTGGTCAACAATAAAGTGAAAAAATTAAACTGAATAAAATACATTGCATTTTCCCTCTCCTTCTTCCATCTCCGCTGTGGAATCTGTTTCCACTGACCAACACTGTGCTGAAATGGAAAAAAAACACATTGCCATTGTTCATTCTGAATTTGGTTTCTTTTGCTCTTAATTCTTTTCACTTTCTTCTTTGTTCGTCCTTTCTGTTTGTGTCTGTCTTTTGTCATTTTTTGTTGTCTTCACTCCACCATTGTTGTGTCTTCAGCTCGCCCTGTCGGTAAGTACCCATCCCAGTCACTCCTTCATACTGCATGTGTGCTTTCTGTGCTCCTTCCTCCTCTCCTGCTACACACACACACACACACATACAGTGTGCTGGCTCAACTCTTCAACTAACTCTGTAGACGTTCAGTATTTCCTGTTTCTGCTTCACTACTTCCCCTTCCCATCGTTATGAACTTGAAAGCTCTTAACTAAGGTAACAAAGTAGAGTTTTATCCCGTACTAACCTGTGGCTGTACTAACTATATTTATTATAGGAATATAGGTTGTGATGGTACTGCTAAAAAATGCTCATGAGTGTGTTATTTGCTTAAAACTTGTGGCTTCTGCTTAATGAATATAATTCAGCAGTCTTCCTAACACACACAGCCATCTGGGACTACATTTGGCTGAGTTGAAAAACTTTAAAACAGCGTGTTCTAGTATTCAGAGAGGGTGTTCGATTAGTCATTTCGGTTTCTGTTTATGTTTCTGTCTTTGTGTGCATTTCGGAGAGAGCGTGCATGCTTTTTTCCTGTTGTTCTCATATGTGTTTACTTACAGCTCTCAGAAGTGTGTCTAGTCGTGAACTCTCTCCAGTACGAAGCAGATGTGCTCCGTCATGAATTAAATATGGGAGCTGATCAGCTATTCTGCTCTTACAGGGCCTCATTCTCCCAGCAGACTCTTTCCAATGAAAAGAGGCCAGCATGTGTGTTATTCACACAACACACATGCATTAAAGAATGTACCAGGGATGCAATCACAGTTTATTTATGACTAGCTTTGTTCTACTCTTTAGAATCCTCTCTGGAGCAGATAGAATTGGGATATGTGTGTATGTGTTTTCCTCCCCTCATGGCCAAAAAGGGCTTTAACACTCAACTGCACAATGAAGTTGAGCGTCCAAGTCATTAAACAATCACTTTGAGTGAGTGGCATGGGTAAATGCCCATTTTTTATGCCCGCTCACTCCGGTGCAAAAAAAAAGCTCTGGAGTAGAATGAAACGGGGCCAATCTGTGATTTAAAGCCTTTGTGTTATGCCCAAACTCACAGAAGTGCCCGCGCCACCGTGCGCCCAGATTGGGAAGCCTGTAAATCTGCCACCATCTGTAACTTGCCTGAATGTGTCAGCCTTAGTCAAGTACAGCCTCACAAAAAAGGGATCAGCCACATAAATCACAAACACTTGCAGACTTCTCTTGTCCACAGTTGCCAGCTGCACAGACAGTAGAGGGGCTCATTTAGGGATCAAAATAGAGGGGGAGAGTGTTTTTCCGCAGTCAGACCTTTTCTTTTGTAGATGGGTGTACCGTGAGTAATGGTTCCCTTGCTAAACGAACGCAACTGTTTGGAGTCCTGCATCGAGATTTATTGTTGTGGCTACAAGTATAAAACTAACACAGCGTCAGAATGTTCAAATTACGTGCTAGTTGTTGTTTTTGGTCTGAATTTGTGACTTCTTGTGAACCTCATGACAGAATAGTATCAGTTTTTAACAGTAGTACATTCTGTGTTTACTTTTGTTTGGTTAAAAATGATTGATTGTAGGGTCGCCGTCCAGAGTTGCTGGCAGAAGCAAATTGTTCTTTTATTTAGGTCAGCTAAAACATTTATTGCTCCATATAAAGACCTTTGCTCCATCCTTGAAAATCCCTAACTGTACGTTCTCCAGTGTGATGTACCGTCTGCAATATCATTTTATCTTCTCACAAGCTCCAGCTGCCATTCCCTGCCTTTCAAGACTCTGACAAACCTTTTTTAGACGATTGCTGCCCTAACCTTCTCATTAAGGAGAAAGTAGCATTGACTCCATGTCAAGGGGAAAGTTTGGATCCCTGTTTTTGAATTCTGATGCCATTTTAAGGTCAGGTTAGACAGGGAAAGCAGGGAAGATGGTACTTTTAATTGGTTTATTTGAATGTGCTCTGCAGGAATGTTGGCTGAGTTTCTGTGCCGGGTGAGTTGAGAGGTTAAAATACTTTGCTAAGTGTGATGCATAAGGCAGGAAAAAAATCTCGTTCTGTGAGAACTTGACCCAAGTTGGCAGTTAGAATAGAGAATGATGTCCCTTAAAATGCCAACAGCAATTCAATGTTTTCCAAGCTGGTCCAGCTTGTGACCTCTGCTTGTCTTCGATACAGGAATAGAAACTGTTTTTTGTAACTAGAGTCAATAGAGTCGAGCATTTAAATCCACTTACAAAAGAACTGTCCACTCAAGTTCACGGTGTGGCGTCCACACTTAGCTTCTCCTCTCCGTGTGTCCTGACCGGAATGACCCACCCCTCCCTCTGGTGTTGTGACCGCAGCACGGCTGTGCCTGAAAGCTGCCGTCATTCATTCGGTACCGCCATCCGCGGCTCCACCTGGATGAATGGCTTCCTGTGGTTGCTGTCGCTGTCCTTGCTGTTTGTGGTCAAAGCAAACAGAGAATCCAAAAGGCCGATTGGTGTCGGAAACGGGCTGATGCATGGAAGCTCTGTCTCAGTGACCTCGGCAGTCAATGCCTGTGGATGCCTGATGTTCCCACTGACTGCCAGTGATCAGCGTTTATGTGTCGATATGTGGTTGCGTCAAAGGGTATGGTGTAATGTTAATGTCTTTGGTTCTTGACTCAGCCGCACCGCAGTTCGTGATCCGGCCGCGGGATCAGATTGTGGCACAGGGACGGACCGCCAGTTTCCCCTGTGAGACCAAAGGAAACCCACAGCCGGCGGTCTTCTGGCAGAAAGAAGGAAGTCAGGTAAGAGCACAACTTTCTCTCTTTGTTTTTGTGAAAGCTTTAGGCTAGTGGTTAGCATACATGCTTCAGGCATGTTGACAATAAAATGGGTGAACAAATCCCTTAGACTTATATTTAAGAAGGGATACAAGCTATATTTAGGGATGGGGTCACCTAGCATCCACCCAATAGACCTTAGTAATAGCAAAACTGGCAACCACCCAGAACATGTTAGCATTGTAGCAGTGAGCTTTAGCATGGCACGCTAGTAAAAAAAAAAAAAACCTAGAAAATGAGAAATAACAGAGCATTTGAATCTTAATCCCAATATTATATGCAATATAACACTTTCCATTACATTTTTTGTCCTACCATTCCTCTCTTAAGTTAGATATGACGGTATTTGTTAAAAGGCAAAATTAAAGCAGTTATTGAGTCATTAGCGCTGAGAGAAGCCTCTCAGTCACACTTGAGGATAATGGACCCAACCTCTATCATGTGTGAGAGGCTAATTAAAAAAAAGAGCAAAAGAAAGAAAGAAAAAAACATCATTTGGAGCATAATTTGGAGCATTAAAGTCATTAGGTGTAATTGAATCCGGCTAATGTCTTTCGGTTTCTGACGGTCAGCTATGAGGACTCAGAAATCAAAAGAGAGAGAGAGAAAATAAAAGGAAGAGTTGAGAGATCTCAAGGATATAAAATCTGCGGTAAATGTAAGGGCTCGGTCAATGATGGCCATTAATGAACCCAGCTTGTTATCTGCCGTAATTAGCGAACGGACTAAACTGGCTGCTGGTGGTGAATTAGTTTCGAATCACCTGGCCTCCTCCCTTTCCAGCAGATTTCATTTCAAATACAACAGCCATGTTAGACATAGTGAGTAAACAACGCAGCCCAAAGCAATTACTGGAGTCATTTGGACACAATGGATACACACAGTGAGAGAGATACACAGTCAGGGTTAGCATACTGGTTAGCAAAAGCTTTATCTGCGGTGAGCCATTGTGTTGCGCAATTTAAAGTCACGCCACTGCAATTGCTTTCCTAATTTTAATAGCTGATAAAACAGATATTACTTTACCCCCTCTAATGTAAAAATGTCTTTCCTGGTGTGTTTATATTCTAACAAATATGGGAGGTGGGTTTCAGGTAGCGAATTTTCCCTGGGAATGCTCTTTACACTTTTCTTGTCTGTTCACTTTTCTTTGTTTGTGTAGAACCTCCTGTTTCCAAATCAACCGCAGCAGCCCAACAGTCGTTTCTCGGTGTCGCCCAGTGGAGATTTGACCATCACAGCGGTCCAGCGGGCAGACGCGGGATACTATATCTGCCAGGCCCTGACGGTGGCGGGCAGCATCCTGGCCAATGCACAGCTTGAGGTCACAGACGGTAAGCGCTGGGGTGGATCGGACCACAACGGGGCTTTGGGAATGTGGATGGATTCTTACCTAGCTGGTGTTTCATTCTGATTCTTTGTTTTTAGATACAGGGCTTTTTTTTTTTTTTTTAAAACAAATCAGTTCCTTTTAAAAGATTCTCTTGCATATGCCAGAAACTGAATCTGGCATGCTTTTATATATATATATATATATATATATATATATATATATATATATATATATATATATATATATATATATATATATATATATATATATATATATATATATATATATATATATATATATATATATATATATATATATATATATATATATATATATATATATATATATATATATATATATATATATATATATATATATATATATATATATATATATATATATATATATATATATATATATATATATATATATATATATATATATATATATATATATATATATATATATATATATATATATATATATATATATATATATATATATATATATATATATATATATATATATATATATATATATATATATATATATATATATATATATATATATATATATATATATATATATATATATATATATATATATATATATATATATATATATGACCCTGAACCACAAAACCAGTCATAAGTAGCACAGGTATATTTGTAGCAATAGCCAACAATACATTGTATGAGTCAAAATGATCGAGTTTTCTTTTATGCCAAAAATCATTAGGATATTAACAATATTTTGATTATAACAACAATAAATTTCCTACAGTCAATTTATACTTTAATAAACTTAGTTAACTTAAACTAAACTTTAAAGGCAATTTTCTCAATATTTAGATTTTTATGCACCCTCAGATTCCAGATTTTCAAATAGTTGTATCTCTGACAAATATTGTCCTTACAAACCATACATCAATGGAAAGCTTATTTATTCAGCTTT